ACAATTACCAAGGGGTCCTTGTTAGTTAAAATGATATCACTAAATTTTTAATATTTATTTTCTCGAGAACGCTGCAACCGATTTCACATGGACAATTTGTATTTTGTTCTATTTTTAACAGAGAATATGCCAGTGCCTGCTGAAAAATAAGTCATGGGATACCCTGTATATGTTATGACGACGAAGTCGCACAAATGAATGGCACCGCGAGAAATAATTAATAAAATACTAAATTAACTGGACGCCAGGTATAACCTAAGTTATACCGCTGTCTCCTAAGGACACCCTGGCCAGCACTTGTGCGGTGGGGTCCTGGGTTTGTGAGACAATAATACAAATCTGAAAACTAGGGAGATTCACTCTAGAAACTACTGAAATTATTTTATACAACGACGAACTATCAGAATCAAAATTCAGGGATGGATCCGATTTATTTTAAATAGAAAATATAAGAACAATGTGGTTGAATACAAGTGATAAGTACGGAAAATAGATCGAGATGAAATGAACGCATTTGGATATTACCAGAACGGTATTATACAGGGTGCTTCGTAATTGCCATACACAGTAGGTCAATACTGGTTCAGGGTGGCCCCCTGAGTAAGAATCCGTAATTCGTTTGGTCCTACGTTCAGTAGTTTTTCTACAAATTGAGTTTTACTTCGGCCAATCAGAGGACAGCTTTGAGCGAGGTGTCACGACGCCTTCAACAGTGGAAGACTTTACAAGACTTCACTATAATCGGCTGAGTTCACTTGGTACATGTGGCAACGATAAACAAATTTAAAGATCCATTTGATTGTCGGCCGCACATAGCATTTGTTTCTCGACGGCATCGATGAAGTTAAAGCCAGCCAGGGATGCCCACTAGATACTACACCAAGCAAAGCACCAGAGAATGGGATTGGAGTAAAACAAATGCTACCGACGTTCCATGGACGAAACACATAAGCTGGACACCGGATCTTACAATACGTCAGATTGAAAAAAATAGGCTAGGAGAGAAATGCAAAAACACGTAAGGCCTTATTTTGCTAAGAGAATATTCACACCATCCTCACCATGGAAATCCAGTCCCGCTGCACTCCCGTCACGCGGGTAGTCCTGAGGCCCGCGTGACAGCGGTGGCGCCCTCTGTTAAAAATCCGAGGTAATTATTAAGTAGCCATTTGCATTCGGGAATCTTCTTCCCTGAGACCTCCTCAGCTCTCTCCCCCGAGGTCACTCAAAGGTGCTACCCCGTTCGTACCGTTTCTCCGGTGCGAAACCACGTGCTCCTGCGTGAGTCCCGCGTGTGACTGTTTTGATTTCGTCCCGTTTAATATTGCGCGTTTCTAGAGTCTATCGAGTTATTATATTTTGCGTTGCTACACTTTCAGTTATTATATTTCGAGTGTCATCTTTTCAGTGCTATTTATTATCTCTTGGTTTATTTTCTTCGTTGTTTTCTTCCGGTATCGGCACTTTATTTTGTTAATTATATTCATTTCATGATGATTGATTGTGATTATTATGATGCTGTTTACAGTATTGAAATATTTGTATTAGGCACATTTTACAGTTGTGCCAACTGTTTCTGACATAGGTTCCAAAAATCTGTGACTTTGGAAGGAATTACATATTGACATACCCACCTAAAATACATTGGCTACGAGTAAGAAATGGAGAAGTAATAAGTATTGTTCAACACAAAAAGAGACTAGCATTCAAAAAGAAAAAAAAATACCAATACGGATGATTTTTTTTCACCATTCATGCGATTTCGATCTCAAAGTGTTTGTTTTTTGCCGATATTCCGCATTTACTGAAATTGCTTTAGAATCATTTTGTCGATACAGGTTTTACAATCAATGGATTCCCCATCGAGAAAACAGGTATAGAAGAAACTGATTGAAATTAATGTAGGAGATTTGAAAATCGCTTTGAAAATCTCCAACTATTACCTGGACGTAAAGGGCACCGATAGGCAAAAAATTATCCCGGCTGCACAATTATTTTTTGATACAACATCAACTGCTGTAGAATGGGCTGCAACTCACTCAAATCAATTGATCAATGCCAGTAACTGGAAATTGACTGCAGATGCTATTCGATTGATCAATGATGGGGTTGACTTGCACAATTCCAAAAGCAGATTCGGTTGCAACGAAATTTCTTATGGATACGGAATTTCCTCACAGAAGCAAAATGAACTTCTCGAAAAAATGTCAAGTTGAATTGAAATCCCTAATCCTTTTTCAAAAAGGAATTTTAGTATCAAATGCCTTTCTTCAGCCATATTTCACCCAAATTCTGCCATGCTTGCAACAAAAATATAATACATCTGAGTTCACTATCAGTTATGTACTGACCAACAAACTGTCTCAGGACGTTTTAGAACAATTCTTTTTTTTTCATAAGATATGTGGGTGGAAGTAATGATCATCCGAGTGCTCTGAATTTCAAGTATAGGCCACGGTCATACATTTTGGGGAGGGATTCCAATTCTACGTCTTCTACTAACATAGAACACGCAAACGACCGTAAATATTCTTTAGAAAAGTTGACAATGATAACGGATGATTGGAGGCGATTTTATGAACCAGACGGAACTAACGTTAATGCCCAACAAGGTGACAAGGAAGAAGAGCTCTTTATTTTGCCGAGAAACGTAGGTGGCAGCGATATTTTGGGATTTCTTCGAAATCTGCAAAATAATGTTAAAATTGCTAATCAAGTTACAAAAAACAATTTTTCTTAATTTATTTTGTCGTAGGACTTCTGACTTGTTCACACGTAACTGCTGATGTGAACAAATTAAATATCTTAAATTTTCCATTGTAATGTGTTTAAAAACGATTGTCAATCATTTTATTTATAGAACGAAGACAACGAGAATATTGTTACTGCTGATTTATCAGTGTTCATTTCAATAATAGAAGAGGAATCTCTGTTGCAAGTCTCCGGACAGGTAGATACCTTAGAAATCGTAAATGAAGAAGGATTGAAATACATTGCCCGATATGTAACCCATCGTTCCAGAAAGCAGTTTCCAGAATTGGGCTTCACAAGAAATGAAATAAATACTGAAACAAACTCTGAGTGGAGTCAGCCCCCGGATGATTGAATTCAGTTTATTTCAAAAGGAAACCTTCTACTTATGTCCTTCGGATACTTTATTATCGGCAGCTAAAATTATAAATAAAGAATTCGAAATTTATCACGGCTCCACTTTAAATGGAGATAAATATATCTCCCAAAAATTGGCCGACATGGTAAATTAAAAAATTGTAAGAAAAAATAAAAGTCCTCGAAAAGTTTTATTAATTTTAGTTCGCGTGCGTACGTATATTCGTCTTCGCAATTTAATTTTAAAATTAGTACAGCAAAGAAAAAAAATATATAAAGAAGAATAAAAATGTATATAATAAGTAATGCCAAATATAATTATACAAAATCTTGAAAATATGTTTAAATATAACCTTTTCCCTCTGAAGTTTCTTATTATTTCCTGAGCTGCTCAAACTGATGTGAAGCATTTATTATTATTCACAATCTATATTTTTTACATTCTCTAACAATTCATTGTTTTTATTTTTCAAATAAATGTTTTTATCTGTGAATCGACATACAGTAACATTTTTTAATGAAACATGTAATATTCAGTTATAATACGTAAGGACTCGCGGTGTACAGGGTGTTCAATAGGAATATATGAAAACTAATAAATTGGTATTTTGCAATAAATAAAAGGATCGGATCCATGGCATTTTTTTTTAATAGAAGAGAGGTCATTTTCATTTTATAACCATTTATTAAAAAAAAGCATGTTTACATAGAATAAATTATATGTTTAAGAAATATGAACAAATGTCAATATAAATGATATACATACCTGCATTTCTTTGAATTGTTACGTAGGGCGTAGTGGCTAGCGAGGCCTTTAAATTTGATAACGAAAATTTCGAAGTAACCAAAAGAAAAGGAACGACCAGAGGTAACGTGAATACAGTTTGAGGGAATTCCGAGCGGTAAGAATACACTCAATGGTGGGTTAGCTGCTCGTTTAAGGTGTTGAAGCACGCCTTGCTATTCCAACGTGGAGAGATATTCCCTGAAATGCTTATGGATGGGTAATAGATATTTAATACGCGAGGAAATTTGAATTTGCGATATATTGTTACAAATAAATCAGTAAGTTTCTATAAATTATTGTTGTTTACAGTGTTTGAGTTATGAGAAATTCGGGATAGAGATCGTGATATTGAATTACAAAACCTGACGTGAGGTTAAGGAAATAAGAAATTTTTTGGAACAGAAAAGTATCCAGCATATGCGTTACTTGATTTGGAAAAGACTAGTCTATGCGGCTCAATTTTTCCCGATAACCAATCCAGCCTATTCCCTACGGTATGTAATAACGAATCCGTACTTAGGCCAGATTACGAATATTACACCGGATCTAATACTCTAACGGTTAGAGCCACGAGTGACAATGTGCAGTCCGATCTTTTGCGCGTGAAGCTAAACGATTTTCTGAGCATCGGTACCATAACTTTGACTGCTTATATAGTCATTGTTCACTGATGCTCTTAGGTATGGTTAGGACCTTAGGAATGCAGTCAACTAAGCAGCTGGGTAGGTGACACGGCCAGTGCACTGGGTAACGCACGGAGTCTGCAATTCTATTGACTGTTGGCTAGTTATTCTGTTTCGGAAATGATAACCAATACTATACGTAACACCCTTTATGCTCACTTACTGGCCTACGGTACGCGTAGATGACAAGCTGAAAATTGCTTATTATTCTCAAATTATTCTTAAAATTATACTTGAGGCTACGATTATAATTACTATAACCATGGAATCCGTTTGTAGCTGTTAAGTTATTTTAATTTTTAAATCAAGTACAATATCAGAATTTAGTAGTCAGTAGGTCGGCTTTGGAAATGAAATAAATTTGTAACTAATGAGGACTGTTATCATAGACTTATAAAAAAGTATGCGTCCTCTTACGGAGGAATTGAAGACAAGATCTAAAGTATGGAAATACTCGGTTGGTAATGCCATCCTTTTCGCACGTACAGAGATTGGGGAGAAGACAACGAGAAGGCAATTAGGGAAAGTCTTGCGACTCGCCGCAACATTTATCCGAACCAACCGGAGTCCTACTACCTCATAATGTTACCCCAACATCTCCTTGGGCCTACTTCTTTTCAATGGTTGAGAATTGGCTTCTGAATTGAGAATCTGGATGCTCTGAGGGTAACAGGTAAGACAATCCTTATGAACTTATCATTATCCAAAGTTAGATTATTCGTGAAAATAGCTTTAGTGGTCGCTTCGTTCGATGTTGCAGCGACGCTGCCGAACGGTGGAGGAACTAAAAATTCTATCTTTAACCTAACACTGTATGCTCGATACGTAAAAATGAATCACTGGGTAGAGCAATGCAAGGCGCATGTTTCATCCTGTGTAATAAGTGCACAATGATCCACCGGGCGCACATACAAGCTGTCGACCGTCTAGTTAAAGACCTCAGCAATTGTAAAAAGATAATGGGTGGCGTTACTTTCGTGTTCGCCGGTGATATCCAAGAAATTTTACTGTTTATGGCTACCGAAAGTCTCTCTAATATTGCGAAGACAACTGGAATGAATATTGCGTGAATTTCGTGTAATTGCGATTACCTTATTCCGCCCATGATTCTAATGTGCAAGTGTTTATATTTCTTCTGAACGTTTGGCGCATACCGAGTTGTTGATATCGCGCGCTATGACTTAAAGTGATTGATAGTTAACTGTTTTTAAAGTTGAAATTAGGATCAGCTAAACTTTTCGAAAATAGCAGAATTTGACGGCTCTCTTTTAATTTTTAAACGCTTCTTGATGTATGATTCATAGAAAAAAGATGAAGTACCAAGAAAGAAGGATGTACGATGGAAAGAGTTAGGACGGACGTATCATATTTCATTACTAAAAAGTTTATCTAAAACTATTACGGTAACTATTTTCTTAAACTACCACCATACAGCATTAGCATCTACAAATGCTAATAATGCAGGCTCAGAGGATCTGTCAAAAAACTTTGTATATTTATAAGAAATTGTTTCTTTTTTCCTGTATTTAAGTAACACATAACGCAATGGAACTAAAAAAGGTAATTACAATATTACCTTGCCTGCACTTTTAGAGATACTAAACCAATATTTCAAAAATATCAGTTGCAAAAAGGCTGTTTCAGGTCATAACTGGATTAATTATGACGCAGAGACCGCAGAAATTCATAGATATTGAAAAAAAAGTTCAAAACAGTAACATAATTGCCAGTTTAAATGATGATTGAAGCATTCTCGAAAGCATGATCGACCAAAGAGAACTTCGTGGTACTTAGTCGAGAATATGTTGCGGCGATATTCGGTTTTAAGTTTATTCGCGAAAATATGTGTGTATCATTTGTGCAAATTACAAGGAGTAAACGTTAAACATGTTTCAAACATAGTTTCCGCCCCTCCGATCGGTGACAGGAACATCACTTTCAGCTATGATGAAATTTTAACTGAAAGGCAGAAAAGGTGTTACGCCGAACAATCGTCGGATCCTCGAAAACCTGCTGATGAAAGGTGTCTCTCCTCTTGGATTCCTTGGTCCTTCCCACAAAGTAATCCTCCATATTACGTGCAACGTCCTCCTCGCCCACGTCCCACACGTCCCCCACGTCCCCCACGTCCCCCACGTCCTCCACGACCGCCACGTCCTCCTCGACCACCTCGACCACCTCGACCACCCCGTCCTCCACCATCTCCTCCACCACCACGTCCACCACTTCTGCCGGTCGGTGGCCCTGGAGGGCCTGGTGGCCCAGGAGGTCCAGGCGGTCCAGGAGGTCCTGGCGGACCGGGCGGGCCAAGCGGATGTTCGTTACCGCAAGGAATGCCAGGAGGACCATGTAGTATTGGTGGGCCAGGAGGCCCTGGAGGCCCTGGAGGACCTGGCGGTCCTGGCGGTCCTGGCGGTCCTGGCGGTCCTGGTGGACCTGGAGGATCCGGATGGCCGAACGGCCTGCCTGGAATTCCAGTAACCATTCCACTATTCCCAGAAACCTCTCCTATGTGTCCAAAGGGGCGTCCTCCTGCACCACCTGGACGACGTTGTGGCGCTGGAGGATATGGAGGCCCTGGAGGACCTGGAGGTCCTGGAGGACCTGGAGGACCCGGAGGTCCAGGTGGACCAGGAGGACCAAGCGGACCAACAATCATTCCGGGATGCACAGACGGAAGATTGCCAGGATCACCTGGAGCAACATGCGGTCCAGGAGGTCCAGGTGGTCCTAACGGACCTGGTGGTCCGGGGGGACCAGGAGGACCTGGAGGACCAGGGGGACCAGGGGGACCTGGAGGACCAGCGGGATCTGGAGGACCAGCGGGACCTGGAGGACTAGACGGATTAATACATGTACCACCACCAATTTCAATAAAGCCGCCAAGTCCACCACTATCACCACTACCTCCAATGCAACCATCGCTATTTCCACCATCATCGCCATCGGTACCACCATCAAATGAATTACCGAGTCCTGGAAGTCCAGGAGGTCCAGGAGGACTAGGTGGTCCTGGTGGTCCCGGTGGACCTTCCGGTCCTGGAGGTCCAGGTGGTCCTGGAGGCCCGGGTGGGCCTGGAGGCCCGGGGGGTCCTGGAGGTCCAATAGTTACATCAGTACCAGGGTTTCCTCCAGGATCCCCTGGAGGACAAGGAGGTCCAGGTGGCCCAGGAGGTCCTGGTGGCCCTGGCGGGCCGGGAGGTCCAGTCGGTCCAGATATACCACCAGGTGGACCAGGAGGACCTGGTGGGCCCGGGGGACCAGGAGGGCCTGGAGGGCCTGCGCCAGGTACACCAGGTGGATTATTTGGACCAGGAGGACCTGGTGGTCCAGGTGGGCCTGGTGGTTCCGGTGGACCAGGCGGTCCAGGAGGACCAGGGGGACCTGGCGGACCAGGAGGTCCAGGAGGACTTGGTGGACCATCGCCAGGATCACCATACGGTCCTGGAGGCCCAGGTGGATTGGGTGGTCCTGGTGGTCCAGGCGGACCAGGCGGACCAGGTGGACCTGGTGGTCCTGGTGGACCAGGTGGCCCCGGTGGTCCTGGAGGAACAGGTGGAGCAGGTGGACCAGGTGGTCCAGGTGCTACAGGAGGAGCTGGAGGAGCTGGTGGTCCAGGAGGACCAGGAAGATCCGCACTTGGAGAAGAACCTCAATGGTTGTCTTCTTCAGGGCTGGAAGCAATAAATATAGAGCGTCAGAGCTTAGCATCAGACACAAGCATATCCGCCGCTATGGCTGCAATAGCAAGTCCTGGAATACCGGGATTACCTGGAGCGGCAGGGCCGGGGGGTGTTGCAGGATATCCAGGAACACCCGGTGACTCAGGAAAGCCTGGAACTCCAGGAACACCCGGTGACTCAGGAAAGCCTGGAACTCCAGGTATTGCAGGAATGCCCGGAGCACCAGGTTCGCCAGGAATGAATGGAATGCCAGGTGCCACAGGCGTGATCGTTGCACTAGGAAAACGAGTACCAGGGCCACCGGGACCGCGGGGATTACCGGGATTGCCAGCACCGCCCGCATTGCCAGGACCCGCTGGTCCAACAGGTCCGGCTGGACCAGCTGGTGAAGTAGGTCCGGCTGGACCAGCTGGCCAAATAGGTCCGGCTGGACCAGCTGGTCAAACAGGTCCGGCTGGACCAGCTGGTCCAACAGGTCCAGCTGGAGCAGAAGGAACGCCAGGTAAACCGGGATTCGGAATACCAGGAAATCCTGGAGAACCAGGAAAACCCGGTCAAACAGGTCCTGCGGGACCACCTGGCTTACCAGGACCCCAAGGATTACCAGGAATTCCAGCGAAATCAAGTAAGCTTATATCATACAGTGAGGATAAACAATTATTTAATGTTATTATGTAATATATATTGTATCTTTGGATGTAAATTTTTCATTAGCCGTGCCTTCATCCTCTGACTCTGATACCAGTATCCATTTCTCAACTCAAATTGGAAGCTATAAAGGTCAACCATGTTGTCCTATCAACATGTCCTGGGTTTTAACTATAAAGAAAAAGTCATGTAGAACGGAACCACCCTGCGAAAAAGTAGTATCGAAAAAATGGCTCGGTCGAATGTCTCGAATGAATCCACGATCAAACTTAGACCAGGATTCTAAGGATGACGATTATGAATATAAAGGTGAGAGTAATAAACATATGTTTTTATAAGCAATTACCTTCCAAACCTGTCAGACGCTAACTATTTTTTCTCTATAAAACACTGATAACAATGATTTTCAGATTCATCCGATAATTTAGAGAATATTAACACGTCTGATGAGCGAGAAAACGAAGCTTACTATATAGAAAATTAAGGAATTTGGTTTGTTATTATCAGAAAAATGCACATCAACTAACTAGTATTATCACTGTTACTAATAATGGTTTACATAATTGTTCGATTTTAATGATAGCCCCAGCCCGCTATGTCTATTTTCAATGCTTTAGGCCGTCACACATGGCCTGTAAGATCAACGATTTTTATTGTTCTATAATGATTCAACAAATGCGTATTTTAAGGTTCTTTTATATTGAAATCGAAACGTCGGAATCTGAATAAAATGAATAAGCTATAACCGAATGCCAAAAATGATTTGCTAAGAAGTTATAACACTTAGTATATAACGAATGATGAAAAATATATGAAAATGTAGTGTTTCATGAAAAAATTTATGAATTTTTGAATTAAAGAAAAAGAACTTATAAATCTTCAAGAGGATACTTGGAGTTAGTATAAAAAGTTCACGTTCTCGACAATTATACTTTCACTTTTCCCTGCAAACAATATGCTTCTGAAGTATTATAGTTTTTCATAGTATATTATATAGGGCTGAAGATGAGGCAAAATGTCTATCAAGAAAATTAAAAAATGAAAAAAACATTCGTTGTTAAGAAAAAATGAGTCAAGTTAACTAATCAATGAAGTTTTGATTTTCTACAAAGGAACACAGTCGCTTTATTTAATGCAATACTTTCTCAATGGCTGCTCGAAGTTCCTTTCTTGAGAACTTGAAAGAACGAATTAAAAAAAAAAGTACACAGGTTGATGCATTAAACATCAGTGATCCTTCATTTAAAAATCTGACAATCGAAAATATTTGTTTGTAACTCATGCATGAAAAGCGCTGCTTTTCGTGTTTCCAAAGTGTGACGTAAGTGGCGCTTTATAACTAAACTAAGGATGCGATAAAAATGCTGCGCATGAAAATATGAAAATGCTCGCCTTCGGCTCGTGCTCGTGTTACTCGTGTGCGGCTCGTGCGACCAACTTCACCGCCTGCCTATAACGTTCGCTTTCTCGCACTTGTATCGCAAAGTACTATTTTAAATCTACAAAAATACAGAATCAAAACGGAGCAGGTATTCAGCTATTCGGCATGAACGTAGCCAGAGCAGAATTTCGAATTGTACTCGGAGCACATGGGCTTCCTGCACCGCAAGCCTTGACATTACGTCTTTCGGTGGACGTGTAATTACCACATTGAACATGAACTATGCGAGCTAAGCAACCAGCATCTTCACGATCAGAGGGCTGACGGGGGTTGCAGAAACGACAGGGACGCGTATATCGAGGGAGTAGAGGTAGATATGATTTCCGCCTCCCGAAAACAGCACTGCAGCCACCCTAACAGGAAAAGATGCCAGAATCTATTTCATCCGAATAGACAAAACAATTAAAGATCACGAGCTCGCTAATGGAGCAGATTTAACAGCGATTCTGGTTGGGCCAGTTGGTGATATTACGGCGCACTCTCGGGCAGGTTCCCGATTTTGAAAAATTGTAGCGTCACTCACGGCATGGATCTCAGCGGTTATTTCATAAAGTTTTGTATCGTTTACTGTATCGTTAACCCCTTGGGGGGGCCTATAATCCAGGAGAATGTGTTCCTGAGGATATTAGAAGTATCTGAACGACGGTGAATAACGCTCAAAGGGTACTTTGGCTATTTTTTTCAATAACGAGATTAATCGAGCGGTCTGTTCATCGCTACGAATCCGATAATTTCTAATACGGCGGCAAACGAAAATTCGGTCTTCTCCCTTCCGTCTTTCTTCCATTTCGGGTTCCTGCGTCAAATCGTTCAGTGCACGACTCGCGGAATCGTCTCCCTAGCATACGAATACTTGACTTAATATCGTTATCATTTACTATAGTTTCGTATTGCTAGTTGCGTTGTTCGAACGTTATTTTGTAATATCGTTTAGGCTATTGCCAAATTACGTTTTGTACTTTTACTTTCTTAATTTTATTTCACCCTACGCATTATTTTTGTTATAATTTTTTCATGCTAAAATAAATCGGTCTAGCCTTCTACGTTCTCCCTACTTTGGGGCCGCTAGGCCCTCCCCCACTAGTTGGCCCTCCGGACCTTTCTGGTATACGCAGAATCTGGTATACTTTACAGTTACCGCCTCGTTTTCTGCAACAACACACTGTCTTGTCATAGACGCTTCTCGACGTCTTGCTTTAATATAAGCGGCCGAGCCTCACGCATCGAGTCAGTCTGAATTTTGAACGCAACGCTGTCTTTTCGAACTAGTGAAAATCTGAGTTCTCGCGGTGGTCAGTATCTGCTGTTTTCAGTTGTGCGAAATTTCCTATGCTAACCGCTTTTGCATACTATTTGTCATATCACAGTGCTTCTGGTTCAAGCTCAGCCGCAGATTTTTTGATTTCTTGCTTTATTGACGTGCAAGCGTTCGCTTTCTTTAATCTTTGACTTGCACGTTGCCGCCTTTACTTCAACTTCCTTCACGTGCAAGGTTTCTTACTCTTTTCTTCATTTCCACGGCGCATACCCGTTTTAATATTTTTAATCTCAGCGACGTGCGAGATTCCTCACTGTTCTACTTTGACTTGCACGGTATCAATGTCGTCCTTATCCACAAAACTTATTTCTCATTGTTAACATCTTGATTCTGAGTTTAAATCAACTCATCAGTTGTTCAACAACAATAACTATTTTTACGATTCCAGCTAGGTTGTATTCCTGCAACGACTTCTTCAATACTTACTACAGTCCTGAACAATTTCCGATAGTTTTGCGTTCGATAATATTAATTGCAGTAGTTTTTGGTGAACCCCCCCCCCCCAGGTTCTGTTCTTCTCCGGATCCATGGCCCCACCGCATAAGAGCTGGCCAAGGGTAATATACATATGTATATAAATAAATTGGAGACAGTTAACGGTACAGCTTCTCTGTATTTGGCGCCCACAAATTTGTTATACTGTTTTATTTATTTTTTTTTTTAATTTTCCACAGGGTGTTATTTATTTGTCAAAGACCATGTGGATGTGCAAAATAGTATCTAAGAGAACTCCTCCCATCCTAAAATTCCTCAAAATTCCTATCGACCTTTCACAGCGACGCCGATAAAAAAAAAGGAAAATAGGACTTTCAAATTCCTAATATTGCATAATTCCCTTGAAATTAGTCATAGCGAAAGTCATGAGGAAATAATATTAGAAAGTGTTACTTTTAATATTCTAAGAATCCAAAGTCCAGTCCCGCGACTGGAATCAAAACAAACAAGTGCCCAGGCGCTATCAGTCGGCACGCGCTGAACCACAATAGGAATACCAGTAAGCCGGTATTTGAAGAAACCGCCAATCCAATTACTGAAATTAAATATAAAATCAATCAATCAAAATATCAAATCCAAAAAGCGACGTTAACGCCTTGGGCGAATAAAAATCGTTTTCCCCACTAAAATTAACGTATTCCTCTCGAGAATATAAGCAGTGGCTTCCTCGATAGGAGGAATTCACTCTGCACTCGACTCCGTTCTAGGATACCGACTCCAACTAGACTCGTGTACGCCGAAAGACGACAAGAGGCAGTAAAATTGTGAAAAGTATAATTATCAAGAAGCAAGTGGAAAATCTATCCTTTATTCCACAGTAAACCAATGAACAGTATTGTACTGCAAACTGTGGGAGCTCATCCTTGGTAATTCTTGGTCTCAGGGAGCATTGTGTCTCACCTCTGTTTCAAGAAACCTGCTCTCCTTGTAGATATCCTGCAGCAAAGTCACTGTGCCGGCGCTGTCAGGAATCGACCAAAAATCCGCCTTACTAAAACCCACCTAAAAACCATTTGATACCATTTAAAAACTAAAAACTGGGCATTCAGAACAGTGACGGAACTTACACAATAATGTTACCGAACAGTTTACCAGAAAGTTTCGAGCAATTTGCTGGAAATTTTGGACCTCGTGATACATTACCGAGGTCTAAAATTTGCAAAATTTAAGATTTTGGAAAAGTTTGAGAGAAGAAAATGCAAGGAAAAGCATGACGAACAGACAATAAAAAATTGTGGCAAGAAAATATTATAATAATAATAAGCCGGGAACTTCAGGGAGACAGAACAATAGCTTCAAGGGTAGAAAATTTCCATTCAGGTGCAGCCAGTGCGAAGAATGGGAAGTTGAATGTCCGAGTCGAAAAGAATCGAGTAAACAAGGACAGCAATCGCTGCCCAGTGCATCGAGTCAACAAAGACAGACCCACACTTCGAATTACCGACGAAGCAGGGCTCATGCCGTCGAAGAATCGTATCTGGTGGAGACTATCGATGCTGGTGAGACGTTCCAAGCAGAACCCAAGGAGCGAGGCAACCAGTGGGGCCTGAGGCCCACTAGGGGTTCTACTTCCTATGTGTGCAAGGAGGAAACACTCTTCGACTCCTGGGTACCAACGCAACGAGTCAAACTTAGTCTGGCGAGCAAAACATCAAAAAACAAACGCGAAGGGGACAGTCCGTTTCCCCATTTCAAATGGATGAAGTTCAAGTTTTGAAAACACTCTCTTCGTTCCTGATCCGCGTGTGAATTTATTTTCCATAGCAAAAGTCACAGACAAAGGACACGAGGTAATCTTCAGGCAAAATGAGGCCGTAATCCAAGATGAATCTGGTCACATCAAATTGATTGCTGATAGAAGAGGCGACCTATATCACCTCAGATAACGTATGGAGTCGGAGCAGACAGCCATCGAAACCCCTGATCAGAAGTTGACTGATATTCACCTGTGGCATGAAACGATGGGACATCTGACTGCCAATGACCTTCGGCTGATGGCGAGGAACAACGATATCAAAGGAGTGATCAGTCTAAAGACTGATGATTACTTGCCGGTATAAGAGAAAAATTAACAGCTTTATCATTTCCAAAACGAGAGAGTAGAAGCGACATGCCACTCCAATTGGTATACTCTGACATTTGTGGGCCAATGAGAACCCAATCAAATGGGGGAGGTATTTATTTTGCTACCTTCATTGACAACTACTCACGCTGGTGTGAGGTCTTCATTTTGAAAAAGAAGTCTGAGATCTTCACAACTTTTAAGAGTTACAAAAGCCGAGTTGAAAACAAGCTTAATCTGAAAATAAAGGTGTTTTAATCTGACAACGCAAGAAACTACACAACTACTGAGTCTAGCGACTTACCGAGAGCCAACGATATCCAGATGAAGGCTAACTGTTCCGTATATACCCCAAAGAATGAAGTGGCTGAACGCAAGAATCGAACATTGGTAGAAATGGCTCGATGCTTGATCTTGAAATCTGGCTTA